AGGAAGGAGGTTGGCTCTGCCTGACCTGCCTGGTGCCAACACCTACCTCGATCTCTCGCACCACGTCCATTCCCTCTGTCACCTCTCCGAACACCACGTGCTTCCCATCCAGCCAGTCTGTTTTGTCACAGGTGATGAAGAACTGGGAGCCATTGGTGTTTGGGCCAGAGTTTGCCATTGATACCATCCCTGGGATCAGAGTACAGTGTTATGTCTGGGAAGGGAGCAAGAAACTCCAGCACAAGATGCTGTTTCAACCCAGACCCATTCCCATGGCCTACAAAACTGCTGGATTTGGGAGAGCCTCTAAACAGCAAACTCCACAAAAACTATTGGAAACCAATTACATCAAGAAATACTTGCAAGCATGAAAGATGGAAAGGGGCACAGGCTGCTCAGCTATTTTTAGCTGCAGTAACAGCAAAGCTGTTTGCATGGAGCTAAACCTCCTTGGTGCTGCTTTGCACAGTCACAGTGTGACATTCCTCCCTTAAAATCAAACAGGAAAGCAGCTTTGAAATTCTTATTCCATTATGGGAAACTAACTGTGTAGATGGAGAGAGAATGAGCCATTTCTGCTTGGTGAAACACAACAGTCTAATCATAACAGATCACACCAGACACGTCTGGCCAACACAGATAATAACTCAGGGGCTGCTACTATCAACGTGGTCTAAGCCAAAACACCTCATTTGTGGCCCCTGGATGATGCTGAGCCATTTGCCCTGCCTGGAGATGGTTTTACCTGGCCCTGTGTGCTTGAGAATGAAGTTTTCATCATCAAACTTCTTGCCATAGATGGATTTGCCTCCGGTGCCGTTGTGGTTGGTGAAGTCACCAGCCTGGCACATGAACTGGGGGATGATGCGGTGGAAGCTGCTGCCTTTGAAGCCAAAACCTTTCTCATGGGTGCAGAGACAGCGGAAATTCTCTGTGGAGGGCAAAGGGAGGAGAGGTGAGGGCTGTGTGACACCTAGAAGCCACCACAGAGGGGAGGCTGAACCTTCTCCTCACCTGCAGTCATGGGCACCACGTCCGAGCGCAGGAGGATCCGCAGTCGCCCTGCAGGTTTGTTCCCAATCTTGATGTCCATGTAAACCTGAGGATTGACCCGGGATTTCTTGGCAGGAGGCTCATCCTGAGCAGGAAAAGAAATGAAAGCAAGTTGAGATGACATTGCTCTGCTCTACTTCCAGAGATGGGCAACCTCATCCTCTCAGTCTTTGGGAGAGCAGGGATAACAGCTCTGGTTGGTTTTCCTACCTCCTGCACCTCTGCTTTGGGGGCCTCTGCTCCTCCCTCCTCTTTGTTCTCCTCCAAAGTCTTCCCTGAAAACTTCTTCAGCCATTCATCATCTGACCAGACTGTGATCACAAAAGGAAAGGTCAGAGCACAGGAATTGAACCCAAAAGCTACACCTGAGCTTATTCACAAAGCTCTGAACATCCACAGGGATGTTCTCCCCCTCCCAGGCCCCAACTCACCAGGCCTGGATGATCCTTCTTTAATTCTCATAGGTTTGGCCAAGTTCACACGGATTGTCCTGCCAAAGAGCTCAGACTCATTCTGTAGAGGGGAAAAAAAAGCACAACAAAGCACACCAAAAGGTAAAAAAAATCACCATGCCCCCCCAAACCCCTGCAGAGGTCAGAGGTTGTGTCCTCTCTGTAGCCCACACAGGTCTCTGTGGGCAACTGGGAACAGGATCCATACCATGTTGTCAATAGCTGCTGCTGCATCCTGCCAAAAAAAAAAGCAAAATAAAATCATTATTGTCATCTCTCCCTTTAAAACAAGGCTCAGCACAGCCATGCCCCAGCATTGCACTACAAAAAAAAAGACTGACAGATCTTCCTAAACCTCATCTATCCCAGGGTTGTATGAACTGATGGATTTTGCAAGAACCACATCCAAACCAGGAACTGGGTCTCACCTTCCAATCACTCAGTAAACCTATTTTACTTAAGATGCTTTATTGCTGACCCCAGCACTTGGGAGAGGAGGAGAGATCTGTGTATGAAGCCCAGGATAAATTATAAGAGGACAAATATATGACAGACTGTACTACCCATAAAGCCAAGAAACCCACCCAGGGGGACTATGGAAGGGGAGAAGTTTGGGCTGGCAGAAAGAAAATTAAAAAGGTTAAACTAGGAACTTGGAAGAGCAGAACACCACTGCTGGAGAGTGATCCAACGCTGTGATAGGTAACTGCTGCTGGACAAGCTGGAGGAACAGCAAAAAACCCCAAGGCAGGAAAAGCACCGAGCAGCTCCAACATTTTCCCCTTCCTCACCTCTGCCAGCTCAAACTCCACGAAGGCAAAGCCTCGATGCTTTTCTGGAGGGAGAGAAGTGAAAGGTCACGGGCAGAAAACACACACGGGGAGGGGAGGAGGGGAGTGGTCCCCATCCCAACCGTGGGAAAACTGCATCCCACCCGTGGGAAAACCGCATCCCACCCGTGGGAAAATCGCATCCCAGGGATGCTCCAGCGGGTGCAGCATCCCAACCACGCACCCGTCTCGTAGTCCAGCGGGATCTGGATGTCGGTGATGTCTCCGAAAGGGATGAAAGCTGCGTGCAGCACCTTCTCGTCCACCTCCTCCGCCAAACCTCCTGCGGGGCGGACAGCGCTCAGCGCTCCGCGGGCAGCTCCGCGGGCACTGCCCCCGGCTCTGCCACTCACCCACGTACAGAACCCGTTTGGTGGCTGCCATCGCCCCCCGCACGGCTCGGCTCGGCTCAGCTCGGCTCGGACCCGCCCCGGAACGGCAGCATCGCTCCTCCCTTCCGCGGATCCCGGGACACAGCGAGCGCTGCTGGCCCGGGGGGG